TTAAAATTGTTTTTTTATTACACACATTATACTATCAAATATTTTTTGGAAAAAAAAATAATATATACATTGCACGGGTCAACTACTAGCAAATAGAAAGATCATGAGTTGGTGAATCACAATCTATCTATTATTAGGAAAAATTATTCAAGATATTATCAATTGTCTATTATAACTCTAATACAAAAGTGATAAATCTTATAATTTAAATCGATAATTATTGTTTTAAAGGAGCACCATCACTTAACAATATCCTAGAAATATTGAATAATTTCCCGTTAGACTGCTCACCACCGAGAAAAAAAAAAAGTTAGTGATAAGTCACACAACCACCAGCAAATGTACATCCAACAACTTTAAATATTTATCCCAACGTTAAAATCCTGCCAATGAGCCACTTTGTTGTTTTTTTTTTTAAAAAAAGGGCTCTGTTTTCCAATAATGGAAATGGAAGTTTGGATAAAAAAGCAAAGACACGAGTGGAAAAGAAATTTAGGGATTGTTAAAGATGACTTAAATAAGTGTATTTTTTATCTTTTTATAAAAAGATATACAGAAAAATAAAAATGTGATAAAAAAAGATAAAAAGATAAAAAATGTATACTTATTTAAGATAGTCAAACTTGACCTCAGTAGGTGGGGGTCCGAAAACGAACCAACATGGATTCAAATAATAAGGTCAAGTTTGGCATGATTGAAAAAAGATAAAAAGTCAAAAAGACACTATCCTATTTAAGTCACATCATCTTACTTAAGTCACATCACTTCTCTAACACATCACTTCAAACTCAACCCAAACCCAACCCATATTTCATAAAAAGTCAAAAAGAACACTTATTTAGCCTTCCTAAACTAGGCCTAAATTTTTATTAATTTTTCACGCTTTAAAAGTTCAACAGCAAATGAAATAGTTAGGTTACATGCACAGAAAAATATATAAAATCTATAACATATATAAAAGAATGAAAGGTGGTTGAATCTAATATAAAACGTCAAAATAATGTTCAATTGCAAAATTGCCCCCCATTTTGTATTTTTTTAATAATATATTATAAATTGTATTAAAACATATATTTATTACATCTTATCAAGTGTATCGGCACACTTGTTAGCATGATTATTTATTTTTTTTAATATGGATAAAATTAAAATTAATTTATTACCTACTGTTTAAAAAAAATTAATCAAATTAAATCATTAAAATTATTGAACCAAACTGACCCAAATCATTTAAACACAATTCGGTTCGATTTGGAACTATGTTTTTTGATAATCTGTCACTAAAAAAAATCATATAACATTATCAAAAAAAATTTAACTTATCATAAATTTGAAAAATAATAATATGTCCATTACACAAACTACTCTTACAATATTCAACAATTAAGCAAAAATATAACATTAAGCAAACATTGTTTAACATTAAAAAAAAAAAACTTAATATTTAGCAAATAAACATACTATGATTTAAGTTAATAATAATACTACGAATCCAGAAATTACCTAGAATTATTATCTTGTTATTCATAATTATTCTATATATGAACCCCACACTACACAAATTTAATCTCCACTACACAACCACTCATCCAGAAGAGACTTATTGTCAAATCCAATATTTGTTGGAATTCATCCTTCATATTCAGATAGATCATTACCTTGGAAATTTTTTCTTTTTTGTCAATCAACCCTTCTTTTTTATCCTTTTCCTTTACGTTCATTAATGACCAAATAATTGCATCTCTTATAGTGATGACTATCCCATTTCAGTTTTCTATTTTGTTTTGCCATTCCTTTTTTATCATTAATTTTATAAAAGTTAATTTTATTAACTTTTGCTTTTATGAGTACTTCACCATATATAAGATGATTTCTAATTATAATAATCCCTTAATTTTGCTCATCCAATTTTACTCTCAATGATGTGGAATTGAGGATGCTAAATATGAGAGAGAGAGAGAGAGTAGGGTATGGAATCGCTTTACATTGAGGGGTGGGTCATGTCATTGAGGATGGAATTAAGAGAGCAAAATTAGGGAGATGTAACACTACTAATCCAATTATTTCATATTTCAGTCAATACCATCAATTTTATTGAGTATTTTATTAACACAAAAGGTACGTGTCATTTTTTTTTTAATTTGAAAAATTCAATTCAATATTATGATATTTTTTGAAAAATTCAAAAATATTTAGTAGATTAATTTATTATTCCCGTAAAATAATTTTTTCACGATATTTATAAAAGAAATTATATTCAATTATTAATGTACTCAAATTAATTCATTATTTCTTATACACTTAGTTTGATTGTATTAATTCTATAACTATTATATAAAAGAATGTAAGTTTAGTAGGTGAAATAAATCTAACATTGTGTAATTATCTAATTGATCCTTATTGTGCTAATACAATTTCATTTGAACAAAACAATCTCCATTGCACTATTTCTTGCGCACTATTTGAAAAAAAGTTCAAACAAACACATACAGTGCTAGGAAAAGAGGTTGCAGCTCACAATCCATAATGTGGTGGAAGTTATAGTTTTTTTATTGTGATTGTCAAAAAATTGTAAAATTAATTAATAAAATCATTAAAAAAAATTCAATTAATTGGATATTGATAATTATATAATTGAGTATTAATTATGTAAAATAAAAAGCCTATTATCAAATTATACTGATTATTTAATTTTAAAAAAAATCAATATAATCTGATCATTGACTATAAATGCTCATTAATTTAATTTTTTATTAATAATATTCTCAACAAATTTACAAGATAAACTATTTACATCACAATTAAACTTCCCAAACAGAACTCTTATTGACCTTTTATTATAACAGTTACGTGGTTGTTTCTCACTTGCTCTATTTGGGAGTGCCTAATGTGTCTTCCATAGTCTCTCCAAGTGGTTAACATAAATTGTTGGCTCAACCAACCAAAACCCAGCGTGTGTTTGTACAAGATGCTTCAATTTTTCGGACCACCATTTCACAGAAGAATAATGGAGGCAACATTTTTTAGAAGTTACAATTCCACTTCTCACTCACAAAAAGAAATTTTGAGTGAACCTTTGCCTTACTAAAAATTTTAAATTGCTTTCTATTAATTTTATGTATTCTAATTTGAATGGAAACTAATGTATTTTGATTTCTTTCGTTTTTACAGTTGTTTAACTCTTCTTACTTTGATAAATCATGAATATGGTGTGCCAACTATGTAAATAAAATTATCCAAAGAACACATTTACTATTTCCAAACAAGACAAAGTAAGTTATTGTAGTAATAGTAATTAAACTTGAAAATATAATGATCATTTTATTTCAATTGTATTTTATTGAACCACAAACTATTTGGAGTTGGACCCACTAGATTTTTATTCTTAATTATAATTTTCATTTTCCTTATGATAAATAATTTTCTTACTAGTTTTGTTCACTTGATTTTTTTTTGCGTTTTATTGATTTGTGACAACCTTTTTCACTCATGTTATATCCATACTTAGGAGTAACATTATGATAATGTTATTCAATATTTGATTGCATATTTCACTTTTGATGAAAGCTATATGATTTTTCTTCATTTTCATACTCGCTTTTTAATTGAAAATAAAAATAGTCTATATACTATGATCTTCCAAAGTACAAATGATATTATTGTTACTTTTCAACATATTAAGATATCTCTAATTGAATTTTGAAAATTTAAATTATTAGATGATATTTTTAAAAAAATGTCCCAATATGACATTTTTAGTCAATGTACATCATTTACCTATATATTTAGAAACTAAATTTTTAAAAGAAGATAAATAAATAGATAAATAAAAATACTATAATTGACATAATATATCATATGAAAAGATTAGATATTTTTTTAAGAGGAACAATACCTTTAATAGTTGCTAATATATAAACTGATTAATTGACAGATTCAATGTTTTGAACGCCTTAATATGTAGAATAATATCAACAACTGTATAACTAAGAATACAACTGTGTATTTTCACATATGAAGTTCACTCAAAAAAAAGAAATAGCAATGCGACTCCCACGCGCCCAACTAGTTTTATTAAAAGAGACAAGCCACTCTTGTCCAAAATAGACTTTTTGAAAGCAAAAATGTTACAATATTGAACGCACAAAACGAATTTGATTAAGTGAAACGTCATAGGAAATTCAAAACAACTGATCTAAGTTTTCACAAGATCCTCGACAGTCATGTGAAATTCTTCATCCACCTACGCAAAATGAAGACGAATTGTAATAGATGAATAGAGATCTTTTTTTTATTGGACAAAAATTACAACAAAAGGAAAGATATAATACACCTTTCCAACTTCTAAATAAAATTTGCTTTGCATGAGAAGAAATGGTATCAATTGAGTAATTCATGTAAAACTTTGTTAGACCTAAATCAAAAATGCATAAGAAATAATTAATGGAAAATATTCAATGATATATAATAATTTCTAAAAAATGCCATTCTTGTACGTAGTAAAAGTACCTGAGCAACAATAGTTATCTCGAGAGCTACGCCAAATGGAAGAACACTACTGCTGACGACATTCAGATGAAGCGTTGGCATTTTGCTTAATATTTTTGCTACTACGTCACCATTTTTCTCGCAATGGATTCTAAAGAGAACATTTTCTCTGAATTTTTGCTTCAATCTCAGGAACATTTTCTGAAGTTTTCGTCCAAATTCTCATCAGATAAAATATGTCATCTTCCAAGAAGGTCCACATTTCATTATTGAATGTATAGTAGGTTCCACTAATTTTTTCTTGCCCATTCTCTAAAGTTTGAACATGTTCTTGAAGATGTTTTATGTACTTGATAGCATCTTCTAAGATGGAAGCTTTGGTCCATCTACACATAAATGAACAACAATGTGTAACACAAGGACATAAAGGTTTACCTTTAACAAAAAATAAATAATAAGCAAAACTTTCTTTCTATTTTTATCCCCTCCTTTTTCTTTGTTTTTTTTAATTATCATGAAGTTGACAAATATCAAAACCTACAACAACCTATTGAGTGTGAAAACATTATTTGTGAAGTTGTCAAAAAAAGTGGTGGGATTAAATGTATCATGAGTGTAGCCCACATCACTCTAAATTTAAATGTTCACCACCTATTTCATTTTTTTTTTTTGACATATTTCCATGCAACTTGTTTGGACTCATCAACAACTAAAATAAATCTAATTCACATACTTGCTTTCTGACAACTTACGTTTCATACTCTACTAAGCATAGTTGTGTTAGAGTTTGCAGTATAATAGCGAAACAATAAGCCTTGAATACAAAATCAAAACATATGGATAGATAGAATTATAATAATTTCTTGACTATGGCCCTGTTTGATGTATTTATTTTCAGCTTATTTCAATTTTTAACTTAATTTAAACTATTTTGATGTGTTTGGTTTAGCTTAACAATACAGCTTATAACTTTTTGTAAGTCAAAAATCAACTTATTCTTTAAGTAGAGGAGGAGAAGCTTAATTTATAAGTCAAAAATCAACTTATGTTCACAGCTATAAGTTATAAGCTGTTAGGGTATAAATTATAATCACTTTCCTACAACTCTACCAAAACGGAGCTTATGTTTACTACTAAAAGATCACATCCTATTGTGTCTTTGATTTTAATGTTCAAAGGCTCATTGAAAGTGAAATAGACATCATGATTTTTTTTTTTTAAGTTCTAGTAGCAGGAAAAATTATTCATTGACAAATCAAAGAAGTGATTCATTAATATTTCAATACCTTCTTAGGCCTGGAATGAGAGCTGAGAGAGAATGAGCTTTTGGTTGAGCCTTTCTCGACGCTTTCTCTCTGCAAAATTGGTTTCGAGCTTGCACTGGTGCCTACTTTTGGGCACAAAACTTTTTGGTTCTATTGCAACTTTTTAGTGTCTCGTTTAGGTTCTCCTCTGAACTCTGTGAACTCAACGATGAGAAATTTATATAATCCGGAAGACATCGTGTTGTCTTCCTTAGGATTTTCATTGAGCTGTAGTGAGTTGGTCGATAGTGAACTTGATTGCCCCAATGAAATAGCATTTTTATTGTCATGAGAGTTGTCGTTGTTGGGGCTTGAACTCCTTGCCCATTTTGAGATATTAGTTTCAATGTATGCGCTCTCATTATTGAGAGATGCATAGACTTTCTGGGGAGAAACACGTAAAATTGATCTCGTCAAGTGAATAATCAACTGAAATCACTTGGCATTGACAGATGAGGTTGGAATCTTCCATTTCCTATGAAATTCAACAAATTTCCGTAAACATTAAGGGTGTGTTTGGTTTGATTTTGGAGATAAATTTTCAAAAAAAAATTTGGAGAAAGAGTTTAAAAAATTTTTTGGTTTGGTTGTATATTTGAAAATAGTTTTGGAGTATGAGAATTTGAGATGTTTTGATATTTTTTGTAGTCGAGTAGATGTGTATGAAAAAAAAAAGTGATTGAGAATGAAAGAGGGAAGAGGGGAGAGAAAAAGTGATTGAATGACGTAATAAGGGAGAAAGTGATTTGAAATTTTTTTTTTTCCAACATCGCTAAATCAAACAAATTTTAGAAAAATTATTCTCAAAAAAACCAAATAAAACCTAAAAGTTCTTAGTATTAAAAGAATGAGTTTTTTTAACCAGCACTTGAAAATGGTCGAACATTTTTATAGAACTTAAAAATAATCGTGCATTTTGTATGTAATTATTTATTTATGCAATGGGTATTGTCCTATTTTCATAAATGAAAACTTACAGATCATGTAGCAATCAGTGGACAAGACATCCAATTACAGTAGCTTCTTTGTTTAATCACACAAAAACAGGATTACTTAGAAGTCACAGTCAAATGTACAAATGAAGTTGCTAAAACCAGTAAAGCATGACTAGAATGAAGAGAATTCCCATATGCGTCTTCTTATCAATTTTTTATTTTTTTGCTCAATAAGAAGCAAAATGATGTAATAGTGATATTTTTAATAATGAGCCAATTATTATTGGCTTGAAATGAAAAGAACACTATCGTGCATAAAAATTTATTATTTTGAAAATTAATATGATTAGTGAGTGTAATATTGTATATGTTTGGAAAAGAGAGAGCTTAGAACCGGTTCTCATATGATATTGATACATAAGAAGCAAAGCAACAATCGAGTTTTTAAAAAATTATGTAGATGTGCAAGGCCTTTGGATGCAAGCACAATGGTACCCAAAGATCCATGAATATATAATATATATATATATAAAAATTTCTTTGTTTAGGTGATCAAAAAGTTAAAAATTAAAAGAAATAAAAGAAAAGAAGCTTACCTTAAAGGAGAGGAGCTTTTCTTTGGCAATGGCGAGATGGAGAATTATATCTTAGGCTTGACTTTATAGTGACAAAAATTATTGGTTAATTGCAAATGTGAATAATTGAAAAAAATTTACAATAAAACAGGTTAGTGGAGTATATAAATGGCAGATATTTTCTGATCAATCCTCTAACGCCTTGTTTGGAGACTTAATATTTTAGTCAAAATATCAAAAGTGATTATAAATTACATATTCTTTCTATTTTTTAAAACATCTTTTCTAAAAATTATAAAAATATTAAAATAACATGTTCAATAAACGAGGCTTTATTAAAAGTTGCATTAATATTTTTGAGGGAATTTGATAATAGTGGACAGATTAAAAAATTACAAAAAAATGTGGGGTGCAGTGATTTGTGATAGAATTCAAGTAAAGGTTGTAGGGTTTGAACCTCTCCATGTTTGTGTAAATTTTTTTTCTCCTAATGGGATGTAATTCCCCCTATTTTTTCGATAATATAATTAATACATTTTAAAAATATTAATTTTATGAATTTAACGCTTTGTTTGTTTGGATAGAAAATAATTTTTATATTTTTTGGTATTTGATACAATGGAAAACGAAGTAAATTATATATATATAATATATAATTTCATTTAATAGAAACATGTCTATTTGGACAGAAAATTATTTTTTAATTTTAAAAGCCGAAAAGCATCTTCAAGATTAAAATTTTATTAATGTTACCACTACCACTACTATCAATCACTCCAGTTCACTACTACATAGAACCAATCAGCACGGTCATTGCCGCTATTACTTTGTATCAAAGGCCGCTGTTGCCCACCTCCACAATCTCACCGACTCTCCATTTCTACTCATTTACTATCACC